ATTTGATTCCCTTGTGGCAGCCCTATTTTTGTGACCTTGGCCATCTACTAACCCTATCTGTAGAGGGGCAATGAGCCTGCTGCAGAAGCATATGCATTTTGTCAGAGCAGCATGTGCGTCAGCCCGAAGCTTACCTGGTGCTGTACCTGGCTTTGCAGCTCAACTACACTCGGCCAGGCCTCCCCACACTTAACCCTCAGCTGCTGGAGGCATGGAAGAATGAAGTCAAGGAGAAGGGCCATGTGAACTGTCCCAATGATGTAAGCTGGGACTAGCAGGTAGTAGGAGTGGGACATTGGGGCTCCAGGACAGAGGGCTTAGGTTTGGGCCTTCAGGCAACAGTAGAGGTTAAAACAGTGAATGTCCTGTTTGGAACCATCTTCAGCATGACTAGCCTGTCTTAGATCCTGGGGTTCTGTAGGGTCTTCACATAAACACCACATCAACAAAGGGGACTTCAACCTGGGGAGCCCATATTACCTACCCTGCCCAAAATCCAGGACTTCAGGGACCTGCCGTCAGAGAAGCCCTAGAGTACTCTGGGGTTGAGGTGGGATGCCCCTTGTATAGAGTCGTGGGAGGGCTTTCTCCACAGCTATCTCCCGCCTGCAGTGCTGTGAAGCCATCTACTCCAGTGTGTCCGGCCTCAAGGCTCATCTTGCCAGCTGCAGCAAGGTCAGTTCTAGAATTATTTCCATGCCTTATGGGGGTGGAGGGCACGGAGCACTCCCAGTTTTCTCTTGCCAAGGGCTAACCTGCATCAGTGTAAGATCATATACCCTGACCACTACATATCCCAGAGACTAGTAGGTGCTCAACAGGTAGCCCAGAATCCCTCTCTGTTCCCTGCATTAATTGTTTGGTTCCAAGTCCTGGCCTGGAATCTCCTTGACTTACGTGGTGTAAGTGTTCATCCTGACCTGAGCAGAGGGTACATTTGGCTTGGGATGAGGATATTCACCAGAGGACTATGACCTAACATTCAGTGCTTGCCTCATCCCACCCTCTTCTTATTTCCTACTCCTGTAGCAGGGGTGGCTTAATAATCCTATTGCAGGGTAGTTTCAGTTCCTAAACCTACCATTAACATACATCCTAGAAGACAGTGCAGCTGTCTTCTCTCTGGCTGACCCCAGTCCTAAACTTTTAGCAGCAGAATAAGGGCTTGGACCAGATGTGGGTGCTTTGAATCTTCTGAAAGTGGGTACTGGACCACTGTGCATTGCAGGGGGACCACCTGGTGGGGAAGTACCGCTGCCTGCTATGTCCCAAAGAGTTCAGCTCTGAGAGCGGTGTCAAGTACCACATCCTTAAGACCCACGGAGAGGTATGAAAGTTATCTTCTGGACCTGCAGGCCTGAAAGCTGGCCTTAGGGGTGGGTAATAGAGTACAAGTGGCTGAGACCTGTACACTGGTGTTTTCTTCTCTAAATAGGGTTCACTTCCCCTGAAGTGTCAAGAGCTTGGGGTGATAAATCTTAAAAAAAAAAAAAAATACTAGTCTGGGGTGCCCCAGTTTGATACCCAGCCATTGAGTGGAGCCTCTCTTGACAAGGAAAACCCTGTCTTCAGCCACTTCCTAGCTGTTGTATGCCCAACCAAAAAAAAAAAAAAAATAGTTTACATGGGTTGGAAAAATGGTTCACTGGTTAAGAGTACTTCTAGCTCTTCCAGAGGCCCAGAGGTTGTTTCCAGCACAGTTGTCAGGAGGCTCCCTGGCCTCCACAGCTACTTACATGCACATGCACATACCCACATGCAGTCACAAATGCCAAGAAAACAATAATAAAAGTTTTTGGTTGGTTGGTTGGGTTTTTGTTTTGTTTTTGTTGTTTTTTTAAAGAAAAGAGTTAGATCTGGACCAAGGTTCTCAGTCTTTACTGCAAGTTTTCTCACCCTAGAATTGGTTCCGGACCTCAACTGACCCGCCTTCCAAACACAAGAGCCAGGACTCCTTGATGCCTAGGAAAGAGAAGAAGAAAAGTCTGTCAGGAGGAAAGAAGCGAGGCCGCAAACCCAAGGAACGGTCCTCCGAGGAACCAGCATCTAAGCTACCCCCTAACAGGGATGACTGGCCCCCAGGAGGCAGAGACAGGGCGGCCCGGAGCTCCACTGGGAAGAAGGCTGGAGCTGGGAAGGCACCTGAAAAGTGAGCCTACGGGCAGGGCCTACCCATCATGCCCTGCGTTGTCCAGATTAGGAGAGCCAGTTCTAGACCGGTCCTCCACCTCCACACACACCCCCATCTGTCCAGAGGGTTGGCAAACCACTCTGCTTTCCCTGAAAGTGCTCCTTCCCCTGTTTAGGCTGCCTCAACATGGCTAGATGGGGCTCCCCGGGAGTGCCAGGGCAGCAGCAAAAGTGCAATAGGCTGGAGGACCCAGCCATTCCTACAGAGACATTCACGGACCTGGCAGGATCTAGAGCCTTGGCATCATGGGGCATGAAGTGTGCTTGAACAGTCAAATGGTCCCAGTTTCCACCTCCCTCTGGCCCAGTAGGGTCCCCAATCTGACTCTTTCAAGGCTCAGACATTCCTGGTGACCCATAGTTGTGGGCTGATGAGGCACCTGAGCAGTCTACCTGCCATAACTTGGGCTTCACCTCCACCCAACACTGGAACTCCAGTACTCCCAGCTACCTCCCAGGACAGACCCTGTCTACTGCCATGCTGCCCTGACAGCCACCCACTCATCTGTCCTTTTGCATCCACCTCTGACCCCCTTGCTTCTGTTTTCTACCTCTCTGGCCTGCTTCCCTCCTCTGTCATCCCTGCTGCGCTTCAGGCCTCACCCCACTTGACTGGTGTGGTCATGGTGGAGTATGTAGCCTTCCAGGCAAGGAAAGAACTGTGTGTTCTACCTTCAGGGAGGCCCAGACCCATAGCTACTGACCTGAGAGAATAGGACTAGGATGCTTCACCTCCAGCCTTTAGTTTATAATCTTGTGGTTAGCACCCTTAGGGGTGCCTCCCTGGGGCCACAGCCATGTGAAGCAGAAGCTGGCCAGAAGGAGCCTAACTCAGGAGTAGCACTTAGGAGAGACTGCATATGTCTGCTATGCTAGGTGGTCCTGTAAGCCAAGTTCTGTGGAAGGCCTCTTTTTCCTTTTATTTTATCTGCCCATGGAATCTAGTGGCAGTCAGTCATTTGATACAGAAACTGAAGGATAGTGAAAGATGAGGTCTCAGCCAGTATAGAAATTCTAGGCTGGGCCTTACCCCTTTCTTTAGGGGCCCTGAGGATAACAGGGTCTGCAGGTTGGACAAGGCCAGGAAGACAGATCTAGCCTCCTTCCTGGTTCTACCTTCTAACCCTACCCCCATCTCCCAACCCTGCTGTGAGCCACACCATGAGGAGAAAGCTGGAGAGGGTTGGAATGGGCTTTTTATAGTGTGGGTAGAGGTGGACTGAGGCCTCTGCTTCTGATCCTGGATGATGTGAATTTTGATATTTGCCTCTGTGTGTCTCCTGATGTTGTTGATGCCAGTCTTGTTGCTGTGACAAGTAGCAACCTTTTTTAAATTTTTTGATTTTTTTTTTTATACAAAACTCAACAATCTTAATGTCATGGTGCTAAGGGTTTCCTGGTGCCGAAGGTATTGCTGTAATACTGACTGGTACCTGCCCCCTAGCCTCAGTAGGGAGGGTTTCCAAGAAGGCCAGCTCCAGGGAGATTTGGGGTAAAGTCCTTGTACCCTCAAATTTAGAAAGGCTCTCTGGCTCTGGGCAAGGTAACTGTGACCTGGTGTGCTGTAGGTGTTAAATGGACTCTCTGATTCCTACATACTTTGATGTGGTCAGAGGGTGGCTACAGAGGTGGGTATGATCCAATGTCAAAGGATAGGCTGGGGCTTTGGGGTCATGGTGTGCAACTGTGGAAGGGAAGGGGGCCAAAGTGCACTTTCATAACACCTCTGTGGGGTGTGACCATCCACCCCAGCCTCTCAGGTACTTGGCACTTGTAAGGAGAAGTAGGACCTGGGTTTGCTGGGGGTTGAGTTTCCAGGACGTACCATAAAGTCCATATACCTTGGTATGGGACTTGGCTGTTCTGGTAACTTGATGTTAGCACTTTAACTCGGTCTTTGAGGTCAGTTTGGGAGCAGCTGTCAAAAGCTGCAGTTGGATAGGTACCAGCCAGTGGTGACTGGTAAGAAGTAGTGGCAAGCTAGACTGCAAAGCTCTTCCAAGGTGGCAGGGCTCGTTAGTCTGCCCACCTCCCTACTCTGGCCCAAAGGTAACCACCAGCTTACACAGATCCTCAGTAAGAGGGACCATCATGGCAGAGCTCCAAAAGGTGGTGGGCATAGACTTAGGAGGGCCAAACCAACCCTGGGTCCTTGGCAAAATGCAAAAGTCAGGGTCTCTACAGATCTACCTCTGGCTCAGCGCTTGCCCTGCCCTAAAAAAACAGAAGTGCCAAGGGCAGACATTTCATGCAGAACCAGGGTGCACTTTATGTTCCTGCACAGGGAGATAATGGTGCCTCCTGGAGGCTTTGGGACCTTCCTGTCCCTATGGTGGTTCTGAAGGGAGAGCTGTTCCCCTGTTGGGTTAAACCCAGGTCCCTTGCCCTGGAGGCCTGGTTTCCCAGGTTACTCCTCATACCTGACTGCAGCGCCTCCTAAACTTTGGGTTCCTTGGTTTGGTTTTAATGCAGTTCTCACTACACAAGTGCATTTCTGGCTATCACTTGTAACCATAGATATACATGCATATATATTCTATCTACAAAGTGTTTTATTTGCAAGATGTTTTGAGGTGAGCTTTGGTCCTGCCCGCCTTGTGATCATCTGTCCCCATCCTCATCCCCTGGCCCGGAGTGGTGCGGTGGTGGGCCATCAACTATGTATTAAAGTCACTGTATCAAATAAATGTTTATTGATTTTTTTTCCCAGGGATTTTGTGCGGCTGAGTTTGTGTTGATCAAGGGCCATTCTCGGGGCTTGCCGCACGGCCTTGTGGGGATTGTAGTCCGCAGCGTGCCTGCCTCCCGGCGCGCCTCCCCGGCCTCTGCCAGGTTCGGGACGCCATGGCCGCACCGCCGGCCTCTGCGGGCGCTGCCCTTTCGCCCCTGCAATCCACTGTGGCCCCAGACGTGCCTGGCCGCCCGGCCGAGCAGAGTGAAACAGCGTGCGAGGACCGGTAGGCGCGGGCCTGAATAAGGCAGGGGCCGCGCTTGTCTCTTGGGAGGGGTCGGAGCACGGCTTGTATGCATTCCTAAAGCTCGGGTGGCTCCCGGCATCCTCGTAGTTGGGCAGATTGATCTCCACAGCCTCGTGGATTCTGGACAGGTTTCGGCGGTTCTCCAGCGCCTTTGGGCCTCCTGAGCCATGTGTTGGCAACCCCCTGCCAGGGAGAGGGTGGTAGCAGGCGACCTGGAGGGCCCCAGCGGACGGAAGGCGGAACTGGCCCAAGCCTCAGCTTTTGGCGGCGCGGGGAGTGGAAACCTTTTTGACCTCTTTGGCCTGGGTTTCTGTCCTTAGTGGGTGCGCACTTGGCTCGGGGCTCCCAGCTAGGTGGTAGGCGTGTTCGACCTTTTGAGTTCGTCGAAATTGAGCTCAAATTTGCACCTGGAGGCCAATTTGTCCTTGTGAATGTAAGATGGGGTGGTAATATCCACCTGTCCAAGAGTTTGGGGGCCTTTGAGACTTTCGAGGCTTTCAGGAGAATGGAAAGAGTACTGTAGGAGTTAAGGGTCCTTGCCTTCGCTCGGCCTGATCATCACTAGTAGCAGCTCTAGGTCACGGCCGCCAGGGGGCGGTGAGCATCCTTGGAAACTGCATGTGGCACCTCTTCCGGTCTGACTGCGCTAGTTGAAGGCCAAATGTCTTCCGGCTTTGCGGGCCGCCTGAGTGCACTGCCTGAGAAGCAGTAAGCCCGGACGCCTTTGTGGCAGGTGCTGGCAGTGGATGAGGTGAATCCCAGCTAGTTCACACACTCCAGGCATTCTGACTAGGAGCCTGACTTTGTGATGCTTTCTAGTTCAGAATGTCTCCATTTAACCAGAAGCGAAGAGACCATGGCCAAATACCTCCGAGTGTTCCTGAGGAAACACCTTGAGAAGATATAAACTGCTTTGGTGGCTCAGGCACTGGCAGCAAAAGGGGAGGGAGTCACTGGTAGACTTAATGTACATCATGAAGTTTCTCCTGTTTTTCCCAGCACCTGTCTCCATATCTGCCTGCCCTTGAGGCTTTTTCCTTGGAATCTGCTGACCTTAGCTGACACAGCCATTGGCTTTCATGTAGATATGCAAAATGGAGATTGGTTTGGGATTATAGAGAGTGGAGAGAAGCTAATGGTGCTCGTCTTGTAGTGCTGGCTGACAAATGAGCCCATGAAAGCCACTAATCCTCAAGTCCTATGTCTGCCTTGTGAAAGTGGCCTTGATGACTGTCTCTGAACTGCCTCTTGCAGGAATTCTGTAGAAGCACTGGGATTGACTATAGATTTAAACCATAGCAGTAAGACCTTGAGACCTTTCTTAGTGCTTTGGTGATCCAAGTGATGAATCTTCCTCTCTTCAGTCTTTGCAGTAGACATTTGATTCTGGTTTCTGAGATATGGTGTGCGTGTGTGTGTGTGTGTGTGTGTGTGTGTGTGTGTGCAAATTACAGGGCAGCTCTAACTTCCGAGATATTACTTATGTAGTTTCCTTATCAATGATGCACCTGCTTAGGTCCTCAGTAACCTCTATTTCTTTGGTAAGGATACATACAGGACTGCAGCAACTCCCTAGTGAGTGGTACTTGAGCTGCAGATGACAGAGCTGTTACCTAGTGGATAGCCAGGGGGAAATGAAAACTGAGCGTCAGCTTCCAGCACCACCTCCCTCGGATAGCCCTGAGGCCTAAAATGGAGCTCTGAAAGAAGAAAACTTCAAAGATGAAAGTTAAGGAGTGTAGTAGCCAGGTAGCCTGATGTATCCTAGGTAAAGATGAAGTTCAGAGGTCAGGCTGTGGTATTTTGGGGCCAAGTCTAGTGAATCCATAGGTGGGACAGGTCTATTCTATTAGCAGTAACAAATCTGGAATTAAGCCTTCTCTTTCTGAGACCAGCATAGTGTTAGCTTCCCACAGACCTGTGGCCCTTTTTGCTACCCACTGATCCTGACCTGCTGGGGTACTCAAGGAACATGACAGGATCCTCTGTTGTGCTCAGCCAGCCAAACTTAGCGAACTGACACCCCAAAACTCCTTAACTTTGTACCCCTGCCCAGAACAATATTAGCCTCCCAGAGCAATCCTAGGGCATATCTAGCCAACCACCTAAAAGTAGAGTCAGAGGGACAGACAAACTCTATAAACACATACATGCACATGCAAACATAGATTGGCTCTTCCTGCTCCTGGTATCTGGGGATGTAGACATACCCACAAGTTACCTAGGTAGTGAGAAGAGCTGTCTCCAAGGCAGCTCCCAGAGTGGCTTCTTTTCAGATGCATGAAGTCCACTTGGAAGCTTCCTTCTCTGAGCCCTGCCAGACTTAGTGCTGTAGGACAGCCAGGTAGGATGAGGTTGCAATAAGGCCAACCCACCCCTTGAAGAGAACCCCAAAGCCACCAAAACCTCTCTGATTAGATCTTAAGTCCGTAAAGGGATTTCAGCTGAGGCTGGGACCAAATCTTCCTTTTCCATGCCGTGGGCATGGAGATGGCTATGTCCCCTGCTAACTGATGAGGCCTGGGTGGCCATCGGACTCGCTGGAGTCTGTTTGAGGTGGGGTGGAACAGTTATTCTTGGATGTGCTAGGGTAGAATTTCAGATTTGTTTATCCTTGTAGGAGGCATCTTGGGGCACTCAGCTCAGCACTGACATTCAGATCACCTGTCCTGGAGGGGCCTCAAATTTCCTTGTCTTGTTGTGTATGCATTGGGAGGCAGAACTATGTTTCTTCCAGAAAATTTGGGGAGAAGTACTAGTGGTTCCCAGCAAGTCCAGGCCAATGTGCACAGCAGCTAACACTGAAGTACATTTCACAGCAACTGGCCTGGGGATTGTGCAGGCCAGAGTCAGTACTATTAATATCTGGGCATGAGCCCTGACTAGGTGATCCTCTTATGTGTGTGTGGCCTTAACCTCTGAGACAGACTAGCATTGAGTGTGTTCCCTTAGTGCAGTAGGGTCCCTGGGGCCTCCTAGCTGCTGTGCCCCACTCCCTGTATATAGCAACCTACTTCTTCAAGCTAGGGGTCCAACCCCACCTAGCTCTTCGGCTGTGCTGCCTATAGGAGTGATTCCACCCATGGAAGACCAGTTCAGGTGGCTAGAACTCCCAAGCTGTCCTTGGGGACAACTGTAGTTCTAAGAGGTAGTGATACTAGATACTGCTAGAAGCTATACCACACACACCTGGGTCGTCCCACTGTCCAGGGACATCCACCTCTGAAACCTCTGTGCTTACCTGCATCCTTGGCTATGAGCAGCCCCCCATCTTACCCTGGCATCCGGATCTCAGGGTGCTGGGCTCTTGGAGCAGAAAGCAGGTAAGTTGCCGCAGAGTCCCTGCTGATGAGAATCCCACTTCCCAATGACACTGATCATGTCTGACTTGTGTGTGATGTGTGTCCATGGATATCTGAAAACAAACAAGCTGGCAGGTACACCTGGGAGCTGAATAGTGCTTCGGCTGCAGATGTGGCTGGGCTTGGGGCTGTGGGTTATAATCGAATCTTGCATTCACTGTGGCTCTTAATACTGTTTGTACAGATGAACTTTTGTCATTGTGGCCAGAAGCCCCTTTGTCTGTGGATAAGAAATGAAGTATTTTGTGCAACTTTCCCATCAAGGGGCACCTTTTGTGAGAAATGGGTGCTGCCTTATCTCTGGCTGTAGGAGACAGCTGTTAACTTTGGGGAGGGCAGGGGAGCTGGGCTGGATACAGACACAGCCTGATATCCCAGTTAGGGTGAGGCAGATTGCTGGCAAAGTCCTCCCTGATCTACTTGCAACTGGGCATTCTTCCCATCAGCAGCACAGGCTTTGGAGGGAGTCTTCACCGAGGTGGAAAAGAGTCACTGATAGGGAGCTAGAATTCTCCCAGGGAAGCTGCCTCTGTGAGAATTGAGAGGGTCAGGAAAACAGCCCCAGCCTGATGGGTCCTTTGTCCAATTTCTGTCTGAGTGTGTTGTATCTTGGCTTTCTGTGTACTTGTTTTTACCACTGGTGGCTAGGAGCTTTATCAGGTTGTTCTCTGCCCTCTTCCAAGTCATATGTTCTGCATTGGAGTGGTCTCCTCCCAAAAGCATTCCCTGGGGAAGGAAGAAAAAGCTCAGTGGGGAGACAGATGTCCTGAATTTATTTTTGTTGTTGTTTGCTTTTGTTTGTTTGTTTGTTTGTTTGTTTGTTTACCGTGGCCTCCTAGAGCTACTCTGTTTATTATGGTCATGCTGCCTCTAGAAACCAAGGCAAGACCCAGTCTGAAACCCTAGGGAGTCTCTGGTTCTCCCTCTAAGGGAGTGGGGGTGGGGCTCTAGCTTTTGCCTGATGGAAGGGGCAGCCCAGTGGATAAGCTTCACAGATCCATTTGTTTACTGTAGATGGATTAGTATACCCAGGTGAGCAACCACCTACCCTCTGCCCAGGGATCTGGGGACCTCACTGTTTGTGTTTACAGTTGTCCTCTCCCTTTTTGACTGAGCCATTCAGGCAGGCTTGTGTTGAACTGCAGGTAACATCCCTCAGGCAGCCTATCATTTCTTGACCTGCGTCCCTCACATGCTGTCTATCCCTAAGACCCCTGACTGGCAGACTCAGGTTATGCCCAGCTCCATGCTCTCAGCTCCTGCACTTTTCTCCAGAGCAGGGGCAGTGAGGCTGAACTTAATAGACTGGCTAATTATTCCCTATGCTCAGGCTCTGAGCTCTGGTAACGATGGATGGTATAGAAACAAGCAGGCTTATTGTCTTTGTCCCCAAGGGTGAACTCAGTGTGTTTTCTTGGTTGGCTACAGATGAATTCTTTTCACGATACTCACTTGTTGTCGTATATTACATCCTTCAGAACTGCTAGTATGACCAGTATGTATGTAGTCAGTCTTTCCACTGCTTGCCCCCACTCACATGCACACACCCACACTCTTTCTGCTTCTAGGAAGGATTATCCAGATGAGACCATCATTGTTCCCAAACTGGGCCATCCCAGAGGCAGAAAGTTTGTCTTGAGCTACATCCTGATACATCAGCCCTGGAAACTACCATGCTGAGAGAGCCGTGAGGCAGCAGCAAGAATATGGCAAGAAATAGAGCTTCCCAGATAAGCCCAGCTTCCGTTTTGATAAGATCGACTATACTTATAAAATATCCAAATGTGACAGAAGTTCCTGGCCCAAGTTGTAGTCTCCAGGGAAATCCTGGTTATTATACTGGCATGTTTGTTTTCAGGTTTTTCTGAATACACTCCTTTCTCTCAGACACTGGCATGAGCGTGCTTTTGGGTAAACATCTTTTGGGGTTAGATTATCATTTTGGGGGTCAGGCCTACCTAGATTTGTTTTCTAAGCTATATCCTCAGTCCCTAACTGAGCATCCTTCATCTACTGGCTTTTATGTAAACTGAACCGTATTTCATTATAGTGTACTTCTCTCACCCAAGAGTGCCAAGGGGATACGTATTCCCATCTGGACCTACCAGTCTACCCCATTCACCTCAGGCTTACCTGTTACTCCATACAGTGTTCTTTTTCTTGTGGTTCTGTAGACTACACCAGCCACTGTAGGAGGCATCCCACACAGAGCTAGCCTGGCATGTCCATCTGCCATTTCTATAGGCAACCATCCTACCCACTAAACACTGTCCTGTATAGTCAGTGGCTACAGTTCAATTTAGTCCTACACAGGTGACCCATAGCTTGCTAGGGCACTGACCTGAGAGCTTCTCAAGTAGTTTGAAAGCTGAGTTTAGCCGGGCGGTGGTGGCACACGCCTTTAATCCCAGCACTTGGGAGGCAGAGGCCAGCCTGGTCTACAGAGTGAGTTCTAGGACAGCCAGGGCTACACAGAGAAACCCTGTCTCGAAAAACCAAAACCAAAAAAAAAAAAAAAAAAAAAAAAGCTGAGTTTAGGATGATGTGACCTGTCCAGGCTTCTTTTCAGGCAGTGGCCAGAAATTGCCTCTGTTAAGCAAATGTCTCATTCTCTTAGCACTTTTGCATCAAGCTGTACTTCAGATAACAGGCAACAGGAAGGTGATGCAGAACATTGAACTTGTATAGAAGTTGCTCATTCTCAGATTCAAAGGCCATGGCCAAAAATGGCACCCCTTAGGGATGCAGACCCACTGAAATGTCAGCAGGTTCGGAGTGCCCACCTAGCATGAGTGATAGGTTATAAGGGTGCACAGGTACAGATCTGGTCTGACCTTCTTCAGTTAAATTTCCCTCTTGCACCCTCTGTTGGTCTCATGTCGTGATCTTAAACCACCACCACATGCACATGTATGTGTGTGTTTATACACACATTGCTAAGACAGGTGCTATTTACAGTCTGCTGGAGGGTTTATACTGAGAAGAAGTGAGTTCTTCATGGGCCTTCCAGCCTCCCTTCTTGCTTTCTGTCTTACATTTCTTGACAGGGTGTCAGGCCAGGGAGTCCCCCAGAACATACATCTTTCTACTGGCATGTGGCCAGTATACTGCTCTTTCACCTCCTGAGGCAACCATCCTGTAGGGCATCAGTGGCTGGACTACCTAAAGAATGTGCTATGTTGGGGAGAGGGGCACAGTCCTTAGTTAGATCCTCCTTTTTCGTGGGTAATGAGGCCCTACCCACCACAGTCCACACGGGTAGGATTGTGGCTCTGAGATTGTGCATATCCTCCTGTGTCTTCTTGCCATCTTGCCATTAATTTCTGTCCCTTGTTCTTGCTGTGTGAACAGTCTGAGATCTTGTGCACCAATTAACCCTATGGAACAGCTAAAGGCAGGTTTCTTGGGCACACTCTCCCCAGTTGAGCCCATACTGTGCCTGTCCCACTTTGGCATGACCAGGGTGATTGAAAACTGTTGACTGAGGCTGAACACATTCCTCTTCGCAGCAGCAATGCAGGGTCCTTGGACAGACTTCTCCCACCAGTGGGTACTGGGCGCTCACCTCGGAAGCGCACCACCAGCCAGTGCAAGTCAGAGCCACCCCTGCTTCGCACAAGCAAACGTACCATCTACACAGCTGGACGTCCACCATGGTACAATGAACATGGTACACAGTCCAAGGAGGCCTTTGCCATTGGTGAGAGCGGTGTGGGAAGGCACTTTGGGGATCAGTCTGCATGGCCAGTCCAACTGGAACAAATTGCAAGTACCCTTCCACTCCACAGGCTTAGGAGGTGGCAGTGCATCTGGGAAGACCACTGTGGCCAGGATGATCATTGAGGCACTAGATGTGCCCTGGGTGGTCCTGCTGTCCATGGACTCCTTCTATAAGGTGAGGCCCTGCTCGTCCACCCCAGAGCATCTCCTGCCTGTGAGTGCTTTGCCTCTACAAATGTAGGCCCTGTGGTCAGCAGCCTTCATCATGCCCCTCCACCCCCAGGTTCTGACACAGCAGCAGCAGGAACAGGCTGCCTGCAACAATTTCAACTTTGACCACCCCGATGCCTTTGACTTCGATCTCATCATTTCCACCCTCAAGAAACTAAAGCAGGGCAGGAGTGTCCAAGTACCCATCTATGATTTCACCACCCATAGCCGGAAAAAAGACTGGGTAGGCCCATGGTGTTGGGGCCCTACCTATGGAAGAGGCTGCAGGGGCCTGAGCTGGTCTTTAAAGCTCCCTGGGTTCCTTTTCAGAAAACACTGTATGGTGCAAATGTCATCATCTTTGAGGGTATCATGGCCTTTGCTGATAAAACGCTGCTGGAGGTGAGCGCCCCACCTGGTGTATCCTAGACATTTACAGCTGTTCTTTATCATTAGCTAGCTGACTACTACAATGGGGTATGACTTCTGGGGACATTGGTTCCCTCTCCTACCTGCTGAGAGCCATACTTCTATTTCCCATACTCTTGATATTTTTCCTTGCTAAAGAACAAACAAAGGTCATAAAGGCAGTGAGTTTAAGGGACTTTGCTGCAAGGCCTCCAGGATATACCTGAATGTGACTCTGATCCAGGCCAAGAGGACTCTTACCATCTCCATGTTGCAACTCCAGTATCCAGATGACTCCTCAGGGACCACCTGTCACATGCTGACTGGAGGAGGCCATACCCAGAGCTCACAAAGCCCAACTCCCCCAGTGTTGATGGGAGGTATAATGATTGAAGTCATATATATATCACACTGCCAAGTACCATTCCTCCCTGACTTGTCAGTTGTCCCCATTTTATGCCCCTGACAAGTAGTATGCCATACCTACACATGCATCCCAATGCACACTTCCTATGAATGCATCCTACATGCACTGATGATTAAGCCAATGGGTGTTCTGGGGTGGGGGAACTGTCCCCAGTGATCATATAGCCCATAGACTGTGAGCTGATCATGTTACCACTCTGGCTATATAGATCCTGGCTTCTGTTTGACAGTGCCACTAGTGCCTCCCTCAGCCCTGTGCACTGGCTTCTTGTGCCTTATCCAGCTCCTGGACATGAAGATCTTTGTGGACACAGACTCTGATATTCGACTGGTACGGCGGCTGCGCAGGGACATCAGTGAGCGAGGTCGGGACATTGAGGGTGTCATTAAGCAGTACAACAAATTTGTCAAACCTGCTTTTGATCAGTATATCCAGCCCACCATGCGCCTGGCAGATATTGTGGTGCCCAGAGGTGAGCCTGCCAGCCTTTGTTTTCCTGCCAGCGGGGCAGAAGGGCCTCCAATCTTCTTCTGGGTTATCTTTTTCCCTCTCCAGGGAGCGGGAACACAGTAGCCATTGACCTGATTGTGCAGCATGTTCACAGCCAGCTGGAAGAGGTTAGTTAGCCAGATAGCACTCAAAGTCCCTGTCCATTGTCTCCCAACAGAAGCTTGCTTACCCTACCCCCACACATTCTTTGTCTGCTGCAGGTACTGGCACTCAAGTGTCCTGAGCCTGCTCCCTAAGCTTGTTATCTGGCCCAACCCTCTGCAATAGGCAAGGGGACTTGGCTATGCTTGGAAGGCTACACTCCTGTCCCTCCCAACTGTGTGGGAGTAAGAAGGGTGACCCACTCCGCTGGTCTGGGATTGTGGATTTCAGCACTGAGTCCTATGTCTTCTCTTTCTGAGTCACTATACGAGTGATGTTTTCACACTATAAGCCCCACATTACATAGTTTATGACTGGGTTCTGGGGTCACTACTACTACAGGCCCAGACTCACAGGTCCCAGGCCAGCTGACCCCCATGTTAGAGATCCTTAGAAGCTTGCTTCCTCTTGCAGTTTGCAGACCCTGAGCCATCTCCACATGGGGCTATGGAGTGTCCGTCACTGGGGGTGGGGGTAGCCTGGCTGCTTGGCCTGGTCACTGATGCATCACCCATTCCCTTATGTCTCCCTGTGTTGCTGCCACAGCGTGAACTCAGCGTCAGGTAAGACTCCACAACAGTCTGCACAGATGGAGGCATTTCCAACATCTACATAGAGCTCCAGGTCAGCTGTCACCTAGCCAAGCAGGCAGGCAATCCTTACCAACACCAGGGTTAGAGTGGCAGGGGCCTGCTGCTGCTCCCCATGGTAACAGATTATAGCACTAAGGTACAAAGAAATTAAAGAATTTTCCCAGGGTTATGTATTACCCATGCTGCCCAGATATTCATGGAGGCTCCTTCCCCATACAGCCTATCTTGGGCTACAGCCACAGAGAGTACAAGAGTCCTCCTGGGCCAGCACAACCATGCATGATCCAAGATGGGGACCACATTCCTGAGATCATAAGGCCTATGTCTGCATCTAGGCTGCTGTGTCTTGTAAGCTGAACCATCCCATGGAGCATAGGTTCAGCTCACTCTCTCTGAGAAGTGGGGAATGAGGGCTTGGCTCTGCTTTCTCCACCCTGCCTACCCAGGCCCTGTCCTGTCCTAGCTTAGTCTTGAATCTGCAGCACACCTCAGGCAGAAGTAATGCCGGCACTGCAGCAGGAAGAAGGGAGAGACTGAGCTGTACCATGATCATCCTGCTGACGTCGGCTGAGGCAGGAGCCATAGGCAGTACCAGGGGCCTACCCTTCTCCTAGGTTTTCCTCAGAGTTGGGAAGATCTAGTTGAGCCACTGTGGGAGCTCTCATGAGCCTACTGGATAATCCAGGAGTTCTTAGCCAGTGTTGAAAATGCCTCCAGGGCCATGCCCTAGCCCTGCTTCTTGTCCTTGCATGAGTCTCCACTTGGCCTCACCAATATCAGGGTGCCACAGACCTGTGCCAGGGCTCTTTTAAAGCCTCAATTCTGAGAAAAGTTTCTAGACATGGTCAGCTCCATTTTCTGGCCAGCCAAGGAAGTGGTGGCTGGTGGCCTCCTCAATCTCCTTCAACTCTAGGAAGTTACTGGTGAGCAGGAGGGAAAAGCGGCTGGGTGTGGGTGGTGCTCCACCCTCAGGCGCCAAGGCTGTCAGTGCCAAAACTGCTGCCAGCCTCCTGCCAGTTGGTAGCCACAGGGCACCTTCTGTAGGGACTTGGCTGCTCTCCCCACTAAGTGTTTTTCTCTCTGTTCTTTTCCACTTTGTAAACCTGTTTCCTGCCTTGTTCCCTCCCTGAACACGCTCTTCACCTGGCGAGCAGAGGAAGCTGCGTTGGGATATGTGAGCAGAGCAAGCTCTGGTTGTGCTGCACTGTGTGCTGCCCTGTACCCTGCACTGCTCCTGCACCTGGTGCCTCCGTGACCCCTCCCCTTCCACGATCACTGTTCCTTCCTTAACCCCCTAATCAGCGCTCCCTCCTTCTGCCTTGCCCCTTCCCTCTGCTGGCTTAGGTCTTTGGTGGGGCAGCCTTTGGCACTGAGGCCTCCCCGCTATGCCCTTCCTCCTGAGAGGGACTGCACACTAGCTGGGGGATGGACATGAGTGGAGCTTGACCCTACAGCTTACTTGTTGCTCCCAGGAGTTGGGGACAAGATGTCCATTTGGAGGGTGAGACCTGTGCCCACAGTAAGCTCCCTTCCCTGTGTCTGGCCTCTCTTTATCTGAGCCTAAAAGGAGACACCTCATGCTTCACTCCCCACCCCCAGCATCTATGTTCAGTGTTGAGAATTGAATATTCTTACCTTTCAGTCACATTTCAGGTGCCAAGGGATTTTTCATGGGTTAGCCATAGCCTGCAGACAGCTCCCACCCTGCACATGCCCCAGCCCCCAATGATGATCAGATGTTCTCTGGGGTATAAAGGAACTTTTGGGTAAGATATGCCAATACATTTATATCCCTAGGGCCGCGTTGGCCTCTGCTCACCAGTGCCATCCCCTTCCCCAGACACTGAGTGTCCTCAAGAGTACACCACAGGTACGAGGCATGCACACTATCATCAGGTAAGGGCCCACCTGTAGAGTGCTATTCCCAACCCTGTTCTACTCCATTCCCAGATTCTGTCTCATCCTTTTCTAAGCCTGCTTGTTCTACTCTCAGGGACAAGGAGACTAGCCGGGATGAATTCATTTTCTACTCCAAAAGACTGATGCGGCTGCTTATTGAACATGCATTGTCCTTCCTACCCTTTCAGGTGTGGGTTTGTGAGGAAAGGGGTAGAGGGTGTCCCACTCTTCCAGGTGTGGGCTAATGGTGGGAGAAGGGGGCTAGGCTCTGCCTGTTCACGGATGCCCCAACTCACTATACAGGACTGTACTGTACAGACTCCACAAGGCCAGGACTACGTGGGGAAGTGCTACGCTGGAAAACAGGTGCGCATGGCTAGGGGTGAGATAGCAGTAGCTGCTGGAATAAGAGGCTGTAGGTTAGAGGCATCCAGTTTGCAGCTTACTCAGCCTCCCTTCCCCCACTAGATCACTGGCGTGTCGATTCTGCGTGCAGGAGAAACCATGGAGCCTGCCTTGCGTGCTGTGTGCAAGGATGTGCGCATCGGCACTATCCTCATCCAGACCAACCAGCTCACAGGAGAGCCTGAGGTATCTAGCCAGGGAGGGCTGGGGGTTCACAGTAATGACCAACACAGAGAGAGGGAGGGTGGGGGAGACCAGAAAACTGATGTGGGACCCCTCTTCTGACCTTACTATCAACTATAGCTCCATTACCTGAGACTTCCCAAGGATATTAGTGATGACCATGTGATCCTGATGGACTGTACAGTGTCTACAGGTGCTGCAGCCATGATGGCTGTTCGTGTACTCCTGGTAAGTAGACCTGGATGGGCTACCCGCAGATTCCCTTGGTATTGGGACTTATCCTGTCCTCATGTTGCACAGGACCATGATGTGCCTGAGGACAAGATCTTTTTGCTATCCCTGCTCATGGCAGAGATGGGTGTGCATTCTGTGGCCTATGCATTTCCACGTGTGAGAATCATCACCACAGCTGTGGACAAGCGTGTCAATGACCTTTTCCGTATCATCCCAGGCATTGGTGAGTCTGTTGTAGCCCAGGGAACATGGCTGATGACCCAGGGGGACCCAGTCACCCAATGCCATTTCTTTTCTCGCAGGGAACTTTGGTGATCGCTACTTTGGGACAGATGCAGTCCCTGATGGCAGTGATGAGGAGGAGGCAGCCTCTCTGGGTTAGTTCCCTGTCCGAGCTACTCTTATTTCTACCCAGCCTTCTGTCTCCTGGTCTGGAATCGCAGAGACAACACATTAACTTATTTGAATTTAAAGATGCTACCAATAATATTCAGTTTACACATTTTATAAAATAAATAAAGCTTTAGAAAATGATGGTGTGGCCGAATGTACGCTGAGCAGGCTCTGTTGAGACAGTCTCCTTAAAGGAATGAGGAGAAGGGTCCAGCAGGACAAGGCATTCTCAGCCTTGCACTGTACTTTCCTTACAGTCGAAGCTTATTCACTTATTGCCTGATGGAGATAAGGGAATGAATGGGTTCCAGATGAAACACACGGCCCAAGAACCACACGGCTCACCTGACCTGGACCCAAGGATGAGGACACTTAGGGCTTTGAGTGTTCCAGGAGGCAGCCTCTGTGACCACTTCCAACCACATTTGTACTACCAAGGGGTTCAGCAGAAGCTGGTGTGTGGGCAGCTATGGCAAGGATTGAGTAGTGGAAGAAGACTAGCTCCATGATGGCCAGAGCCCCATCCCTGCCTTGCTGGTACTAAATTCTAGAGGTTAAGACAGATTTCTCTGGCAGCTGCTGGACAGCTGCTCACTGCCATGAAGATTCTATCCCAGTGAGATGACAGACATGCACATGGACAGCTACTGGATATGAGCTATGGGTCTCTGGGCTGTGTCAGGTAGCCCAGGAACCTAAAACAGGATTCCCTAAACCCCATCCAAACATACTGTGGGCCTTTTTCCTGCTTGTCATGGAACAAATTGTCAGTGTGATTGGGGCCAAGGAGTTTGTTGGGTGGAAGTCAGCCCACAATGGTGGGAGTTGAGTTGTTTGTCCAAGGAGCAGCCAGGCACTAGAGGGAGACAGAGGACCAAAGCAGAGGTCAAGAGGACCTTCTCTATAACCTAGTAAGTAGACCCTCTCCCGTGTCTCGAGTCTCTACCCAGTGGCTCACTCATCCCTGCACTTTATGCTGGGAAACTCAAGACTATTCCTTCCAGCCAGATTTTCCCAGATGGGGAATTTAAGAATACTATGAAAAGCTAGGTAGGAACCAGTTCCTTCCCAGGAAGGTTCCACCCAAGTCCAACCAGGATGATTGGTTCTTTGAGAACAAATCAAACCCATACACACACGTACATACCAACACTACCTACACATGTAGTACATGCATCTACACAGCAGACAGTACATACCAGAGACATGCATATATTAAGTGATAAAGCTCTAAGGACCATATTGCTCCACCACAATAGGTAACAAGTTCCTAGGGAAAGGTAGTTTCTTCTGTCTTCCTGAAGGTCAGTGGGACGCAGAGAGTAGCCTAGAGCAGGAGTCCTAAATTTCAAGGTCCTGACTGGATAGTCTCATCTACATGAAACGTGCTATTGGGAAATCTCAGACTTGGGTGTCCATTTTGGAGATAGATTGGGACCTGTTAAGACAAGGCTACAGGTTAAGTTCTTAGGCTTATTTTCTAACTAGGGTCTTATGGATGTAAGAAGTGGATACCTTTCTAAACAGTTAGGGGAAAAACGCCGCCCCTGAGACCAGGGTACACAAGCTCTACATCCTCATGGGAACAAGCTCAGCACAACTACATATACTTGGGGCTTCAGTCTGGAGCAAGGCAAGAGCAAAGCTGAGCCTCGGTGAAAATGCCCAAGGAGTACACTCAGGGTTATGACCCGACACTCAGAGATAGATAGCCTTTGTACCTCTAAATGTTTGGGTCCATCTCGGACCATTGCAGGCTAGGGTGATGTGTGCCATGGAGCCAGGTAAGCTATGAACAGTAAACACAGAGGCAGGCAGATGGACTCAGAGCCTGGCTGCCAGTGGATACTGCATATGGACCTGAAGTGTACCACTCACACTCACCCTGAAGTCACTGTGATACTCAGATGGGCTAAAAAGCTCAGTTTCCTTAAATGTTTCTAGGACTGTTCAATCAGAAAATAATGTCTACAAGGTCAGTCTCTGGTTTGTCAGCCTGTGAGGTGCCACCCTTTCCTGATCTTAGCAGTTTCAGGGTGACATGTCCTTGCCTGGATAGACAGGAAGCCTAGAGCTTGGAACAGTCCAGGTCTACTAAGTTAGTAGAGGACCCTGACACAGGTACAAAGTGTCTATGCTCTGTCACCTGGAGTCAGGAAGACAAAGATGGCTGAACCTGGACCTGGGCCCTGAGGTATGTCATATGTTGGGTCCTCCAGAAGTCCTGCAACAAGAGCATTGCAGGTAGGACATTTGCAGAACAGCATAGTTTTGCACAGCAGATGAGGAGAAGCAGTCAGAAAAAATTCTGGAGACTGAGGGTTGGTTAGGTTTTGTTTTTTGTTTTGTTTTGTTTTGTTTTTTTGAAGGGGGTGGGAGAGAGAAGAGTCTCGATTTGTAGCATTGGATGGCCTGGAACCCACCATATAGACTAGGCTGCCTCAAACTTACAGAGGCAAATCTGATTTCCTCTGCCTCTCAAATACTAGGATTAGAAGTAAGTACCATCATGCCCTGAAGCTGTGAAGTGTTGAGGCTCTCCACAGGCAAGTTCAGGGCTGGAGGTCAGGGTTTTTTGTTTTGTTTTTGTTTGCTTGGGTTTTTTGTTTTTTGTGGGTTTTTTTGTTTGCTTGTTTTTTTGGTTTTTTGGGTTTTTTTTTTGTTTTTTGTTTGTTTGTTTTTTGTTTTAGATGGGGTTTCTCTGTGTAGCCCTGGCTATCCTGGAATTGGCCCAGCTGGAGTTTAGGCTTAAGGGAGGAGGCCATGCTGATGGACAGTTTTTAGTTTGAGTATGCTCTGATTCAGAAAGGAAGAGGCATCTAGTATATGGTGAATGATCTTTGACTGGGCCCAGGGAAACACAGGACTAGAAGAAATGGCTACTTTAGCAGTGAAATCTGGGGCATTCAGGTGGAACAACCTTGTGGCAAGATTCTTTAGGCCATCACACTAGCCAAGTTCCAGTTGGAGGCAAAGACTTGCTTTGAGTCTGGACCATTTACATAGTCCGTTTACATAGACTTGCATGCTGTGGCTAGGGCCAGAGAAATATTTGTTCTTCAACCTATTGATCTGGGGTACTCCCAGGAAGCTTGGGTCCTGGGATTTATGCTTACCAGTACAGGTCACAGCTATTAAGCTGTGAAGCTACCTAAGCTTGGGCCTACAGAGCCACAGCATGGATGCAAATAGTAGCAGGAAAACTGTTGCCTACCCAAAAGGCCGCATACATTCACAGGCCCAGCTATCTGTATCCTCCCAGGACTTGCAGTAGCTCTTCTTTGCATTCATTCCTCTTGTGGATTCTCTGGAGGTGCTTGCCATGATCTCCTGATCAAGTGTAAGTAGCTAGGGGAATTGAGACCTATAGTAATAATTCTGGAATCGTGGTTTCTTTTAAAAACACAGAAATATAAGAATATGTTTTTGGGAGGCTGGAGAGATGACCCAGCAGGTAAGAGCATTGACCTTTCAAAATGTCCTGAGTTCATTTCCCAGCAACCACATGGTGGTTCACATCTGTAACAGGATCTGATACCCTCTTCTGGTGTGTCTGAAGATAGCGACAGTGTGCGCGTATACATAAAATAAATAAATAAATCTTTAAAAAAATGTTTTTGTAAGCCAGGCGGTGGTGGCACACGCCTTTAATCCCAGCACTTGGGAGGCAAAGGCAGGCGGATTTCTGAGTTCGAGGCCAGCCTGGTCTACAGAGTCAGTTCCAGGACAGCCAGGGCTATACAGAGAAACCCTGTCTTGAAAAAACAAAAAACAAAAAACAAAAAAAAAAAAAAAAGTTTTTGTTTTAACCCCAGGTGTGGGGAGTGTGGATATGGGCTGCTTCAGATTGTCCACAGCAGCTGACTATGATTTGCCTTGTGCTCTAGCAGAGGTGTGGTTCTGTCAGCTGCAGATAGTTTCTGCAATTGTGTGATGTTTGGAATTCTGAGGATTTTTTTCAGAGAGTATATAAATGCTAGGGCTGGAGGGGTGGAGGTTTTTCGGTTGGTTGTTGCTGGTCACAGTTTGTTAAGTAGTCATACATGGGAGAAGAGGAGGAAGAGGAGGAGGAGGAGAAGGAGGAGGAGGAGGAAGAGGAGGAGGAGGAGGAGGAGGAGGAGGAGGAGGAGCAATAGATATCCTGACCAAAAAGATCAAACTTGCCCCAAGGAACCCTATGCTCTTAATCAGTAGGAAATAGTCTAACAATCATGTTGCCCCTTTCCAACCCCTGAATTTATTTAGGAATCTCTTTCCTTTCCTCTCTATCCTTTTTTTCCCCCCTCTTATCCAGTGTTAGGGTATTGAAAGGGTGGAAGAAAATGGGTAGAAAAGGGTGGAAGAAAGAAGAACCCACAAAGTAGCAAAAGACAAATTACAAGTGGTACCAAATTGGGATAGGCAGAATGGGGGAAATTTTATTTCAAACGCTGTAGAGAAAATGGCAGTACACAAAGAAATGGATTTTTTTTTTTAGACTCAAGAAAAAAAATTATTTCAGCTGCTACCACTCAGATATCTTCTACCTTCTCCCAGAGGGGATTTTTTCTTTTTCTTCTTATATTCTGCTTTAAAAAGGGATGAAAGACAGGCTGAGCAATTGGGAATATTGCAGGTGAAAACGGAGAGGCCTGAGAAACAAAAAAGGCTGAAATGGGAAAAGGGGTCACTCTGCTCTCTCATTTCTGAAAGGGTTGCAGTGTTGGCTGTGCAACTGAAAACATTGCAGGTGGAGGTGGAAGCTCTTTAAGTAGAAAGGAGCACCAGAAAAGAGAAAACAAAAAGGCTTAGTCCCATTGACTAAGCAAGAGAGTGGGAGTTTCCTGTGGGAGGAAAAGGGGAAATAACCTGCCAACAGAGGGTGGTTGGGTCAGAGAAAAGCTGAAAATGAGGGGAGGGACAATCTGATGAAGCAGCCTGTTTTGAGAAAAGGGGTTGATCTTGAACCAATCCAACCACATAACCAGAGTGGAAGGAGCAGTAGCCTGGGGTTATGAGGTCATCAGCTTTCCCAGTAGTCATACAGCATATGCCTGCTAATGGTGTGGAACAAGGCTATGAGGACAGTGAATGATATCCTATAGAAATGACAGGTGTAAGGCATTTTAAAGAGGTCATGATGTCTTATGGAATGCACTTGC